GTTATTCATAATAATATTAATAAATGTTCTCTGATCGTAAAACATTTATTTAATATTTTATGATGTGGCCGGAGCCGGAGCTCAGAGCTGTAATTCGGCCGGAGCCGGAGATGAAAAACCGGAGTTTGCACAGCACTAGTCCAGTTGCTGAGATGTAAGTGCAAGTTCTTCTACATAGTGATTGGCTTGACCGATAATCGGCATCGGGCTGATTTTTGCCTTATCGGTAGACAATCGGAATCGGTAGAATGATCTATATTTCCGATAGTCTAAAACCGACGGTTTTAACGGTCTGTGGTTGCACAACATTTTAAGTTGGAAATGACGTTACCTTTATTCAGTCGACTGATATGACGTCATTATAAAATCGGTATTGGGTAGATTGTGGCATTGAATAATCGGTAATTTCCGATTGTTGCACAATAATTATTTTCTGCTGGCTGAGGAACGAAAGAGGCAGAAAATGTTTTTCTCACACTGCTGGGGGATTGGGTCAAGGGTGGGGTCAAGGTCATCAGAGTCACTTTTTTGCTTGCCTCGTGCTAGCCTGACCTGTGTCCCACCCACCCACCCTATTGGCAGGTAGTGCCTAAGTTATTATGCAGTTGCAGTAGTGTGCTAACTAGAATTGGGTCTAGTCTAACACGTGATAATTAGTGAGTTGCAGTTTGTACGGATCCGTTTATTGTAAATATGAGATATTTTTGTTGATGAAAGGTCAGGCTGCCTTGCGTGTGCAGCATCCCTCAGCTGTGTGTGAGAACAATCATTAAAATCCTTATATTTATTACCGAATGTGTCTAAAAACCTAATCGGAATAAAATGAACATCAGTTCTTCAAACTTACAATGAGTGCATTCTTAGCTACATGAGGATTCGAATCGAATATTTTCTTTCTGATTTCACTGACAGCGACTTTACCCCTAAAATGTACAACAGAATGGTCCATGATGACATTGAAACTGTCTAATTAACACCACAGTTACAAATAATGTTTGGTGCAGTCTTTTCCATACTTACGAGACATCTTCTTGTCTTATACTGTCACACACTTGAAGAATGGCTGCCCAATCCGGTTCTAATAGAGTGGGACTTGTGGCTCGATCTATAAAGTGGACAGAGTACTACTAGTCGCATATTCTTATCCTGGCCACAGAATAGATACTAGACCAGACTCCTATGTGTTTTGGCTTGGGGAAAACGTTCGAAATTTTTTATGTGCTGTGACGCCATCCTGGAGTGCACACAGCACTTTGTACCTATGTTTTACCTATGAAAAACTTCTGTGTGCACTCCAGGATGGCGTCATATGATGGCGTATTTTCACGACTCAGCACTCGCAAAATTTCGGACAAAATATCGTCTGAGTGACCCTTCTGGTCTAGTATCTATTCTGTGCCTGGCGTATGTACTTGAGTAAATATGTATAAAGATGTCACACTTGTCATAAAGTAATGAACAGGAATATAGTGGCGTTAGCAGTCATTTTCATATGCCAGAATGACAATTTAAAACACAGATGTGTCAGTATTAAGGAGGATTAACTGTACTTTAAAAAAGCATCTTATGTACTCTAGACGTGAGTAATATAAAACGATACAAGATACAATATATACAGTAGTAATTATATTATATATAATTATAATTATATTTCATTTTTATTTCAAAATCTGAAAATCATTAGTATTTCATTGAAACCCCAAAATTATACAAGACGCTTCTGTTCGGACTACGTTTAGTTTAATTTAATAGATTTTATGGAATTTCATAATTTTATGTTTTACATTATCAATACTATTATTATCCAATACAAATTGGCTCAAATACACAACATAAATTTATGCCTCTAAATAGAATATTTTCACAGCTTTTATACTAACCGACAGCGTCTCTGAACGTAGAATCTATCCCCATAATCTTCTTAATTATCCAGCCTCAATTTTAACTAAATTTTCGCCCTAAAATCGAGTTCCCTTTGAAGCGTTTTTGATGTTGTTGTTTTATTTTCTCTTGAGAATTGTAACCAGGCCTCTCATAGAATTACGTGTGTTCAACAAATTACGTAATGATCCCGTTCCAAAAATAGAATGCTTGCGTCATTGTCTCAGTCATTGTACCATGTTGTTGTGACGACCAGTGTGGGTTGATTTGTGTTGGTTCCTAGGTGGGTGACTTTCAACTGACCAAGTAATTGGGAATAAATTTTTCTATACTCTAAAGAGAAGTAATGAAGTAATCCAAAATATAATAAACGTCTAAAGTTTTGAGTGTGACGCTATTCGTGATTCCACCATGTCTCAACACCGAGCAAGCTGAAATAAAGTAAATGTTGCTCACAGTGACAGCTGCCTGGTGTTTGGGCAACTCGTGATAGGAGCAACAGCAAAAATTGAATTTATAGACCCTCTGACACAACTGCCAAAAGCAAGCAACAATTTCATGTATATAAATGTCATAAATGGTTGAGTGAATATCACATCAGGCATTCAATATAAGGGAAAAGATCGAACTTCGGAGTTCTGGACCACAAGGCAATAAATTATTCTACTCCGTCACCCAGGCCTCGAATTTCCCTGAAATCAATCGACGGCAATGGTGTTAAAAATTGCCGTAGAACCAACGTAATTTTGGCAGACTGGCAGTTTCCACGAATCCACGGCATTTTTTCAAATTACTGTAATATAAAATACTTAATTTTATTGTTAATACTTGGATTGTTGACAAGCTAGAAACATGTTTAAGTATTTCTTTAGTGTTTTTTTTTCGAAGAAAACTGAGATAAAACAGTAATTTACGCATGATTTGATCAACGTCTGAATCATAGAAATAATAGATAGATATCTATTATTTCTATGGTCTGAATTCAAGTATCAAAATAGTAATGCACAGTGAATAGTACAAAAATTACACTTACGGCAAAAAATTGCCGTCATTGCCGCAATGATCCACGGCATTTTGTTCTCCCTCTACGGCAATTGCCGCGATAAAATGCAAGCCCTGTAGCAAGTCTCAGCCAACAAGCCATCAACAAGTTGTGTTCGCACTGCTTGTCCCAAGTTGTCAACAAGTTTTGGAACAAGCTGTTAACAACTTCTTGTGCCAACCTTGTTGATATTATCAGACTTGTTGCAAGGTTGTTCCAACAAGTCCGATACAGTCATGATATAACAATATTGTTACAACCTTGTGTGGTCAACCTTGTGACATTCTTGTAATCATGATTGTATCAGACTTGTTAGAACAACCTTGTAACAAGTCTGATATAAATACCACCATGCTTGTTACAAGTTGTTAACAGCTTGTTCCAAACTTGTCACAACAACTGCTGTCAACTAGGAACAAACAGTGCGAACACAACTTGTCGACAGATGACAGCTTGTAAACAGATTTGTAACAACTTTGCGGAATTGCGGACGTTCAAAAATTCGAATAGTATTAACCCCCTCCCCCCATTCATCGAACGGTGCAACAACCCCCCGGAATGATGCAACGAAAATGAATGTAAAATTTGGGGTTTATTCATCAATATTTTATTTTTTCTATCAGTTGAACATCGGATTTCAAACTTTAAATGATCTGACGTCCATTTGTGGTCTCCTTTGTTGCTTATCTGTTCGTCTGAACGCAGTCTGAACTAAACCACATCAGATTTGGTATGATAAAAACAGCTATGATTTAACCGCTCATACAGAATTTTATCGCCTATGAAGCAAGAACTCGGTTTAACAAACAACCTTCAGCTTCGATTTTTGGGCCCCTGTGATGTCGACGAAGTGAAAAACCTTTGCTGTAAATGGTTCCCTATCGAGTACGTAAAATTTTAAATGTTTGTAACTTTCTATTCATGATTTTAAACTGTTTATTGTGCAGGCCCGGCGTTTGAAATATGTTTGAATTGCTTTATGTATTGTTTATATTTTGTAACAAATTTGATACAGTTTTTATGTAAAAATGTGGGACTTTTTGTATGATTTTAAGGGTTAATGTTAATGTTTTGGTAATACGAGAACTAAATTATAAGGTGTGATATGATACAGGTTTCTGAAAATTTCAATGCACTGCCGACACCGACAGCTGTCAATATGAAATTTATATGCAGCGTGTTTATTTAATATGGGGAAGTGATATATTTTACACTTCTATATAATGTGGTTGAACACCAGGGGCGGAGTGGGCCTAGATTAGTGCTAACCCTTGGAACTAAAACTTTACAGTCTCATCCTGTGCTAAGCAAACCGGGAAATATTGTTTCTGCAACAAACGTCGCACTTAGGATTGGAAATAAAATTTGTTTGTGAAAGTTGAAAGTTTAGAAGCGAGAGTTGCCTTGTCAGCCTTGGGAGTTTTCTCAACTCCCTGCCCCGGTCAAACGAGAACAAGAGTTGCATGCAGAGGCTGCGGAAGCATTTCGAAAGTGGAGGGACATTGGCCAAAAGGGGCACTTTTGTATATGACCAAAATCAAATGATTTTATACTGTTCACTAGCCAAACAAAATTTTTGAAGCATAATGCCCCGCGGTTCCACGGTGGTTGCATGAGAGCTGATGAGAGTTTACTGGATATTACCACGCGTCTAGCGAAAACTATCATCAACTCTTATCAAAATTTGAACCAGTTCAAATTAAAGTCAATGAGCGTTGATGAGAATACATGAGAATCGACAAGAGCTTGCACTCAAACCCTAGACTTGCTCCAAGTCTCTCTTTCATTGTCATATAGTATCAATCCACTATAGTGTACATTACATGACGTAGTACGGAGGGGCGGAGCGAGAAAGAGAGACTAGTCAACTTCGGAAAATCTCGGTTCAAAACTGAACCAAAAATGCAAGACTCGCTTTAATTGTTTTCCTTCAATTTTCTGCATTATTTACTATAATGGAACTCATGTTATTTACACTGCTAGATCAATACATATAAACACTGACAGAAAACAATTAAAGCAAGAATTTTTTTCTGTGTTGGTGTAGTGTACTCAGGTGAATATGATATTTGTGGTGTTACTCTGAATCTATAACCACACCAACACAGAAAAAAAAATTCATATTACTAGAAAACATTGGTATCGAAGGAACTAGATTCTGTTCCGAAATATCACTTACTCGAACCGTCCTGACCGCGTAGCTCAGTTGGAAGAGCATTGGGCTAGTATTCCAAAGGTCGTAGGTTCGAATCCCACCGTGGCCGGGCATATTTTTCAAGCTTGCCCGGTGTGGTTATAGACTCAGAGTAACACCACAAAAATTAAAGCAAGTCTTGTATTTTCGGTTCAGTTTTGAACCAAGATTTTCCGAAGTTGACAAGTCTGTCTTTCTCGCTCCGTCCTTCTGTGCTACGTCATGTAATGTACACTATAGTGGATCGATACTATTTGACAATGAAAGAGAAACTTGGAGCAAGTCTACTCAAACCCGAGCGAGAGTTGCTTACTTTCATCAACTTACATTTGAACGAGGCTTAAACGTGGACAAACAGGAAAATGATCAAAGAAACATATTCAAAAATTTCAAATGTTATTGCAAATCCTTCATGAATTTCCTGACCAGATGGCCAGTTGTAATTTTTCATGTCAGATCAGATATTTTTTTTTTATTATTGGATCAGGCTTATTAAATTGAATCACATGTTTGTTAAACAAATGTGTGCAAGTATTATTTGCAAACTAAAACTGCCAATTAGTTTCCACATTTGGAAAACTATTTGTAATATTTCAATGGCTGAAGAAAACCATTGAATGTGCATGTCTTTAGCATAATTTATTCATTGTAAATCTAATGTATCCACCCACTTTTATCACTCAGAATTCTTTTGGTTAGTGTGTCAATAATTGTGACATATGTTTTTTGTGGAATCTTTAGAATATGGGTTTTGCGACATATAGATAAACAAAATCAATTCTCACAAGACAAATCAATTGTACTTATTGCTATGCAATCTATTGTTCAATCTTACAAGGTCAAGCAATTATGATAAAAGCAAAAATATAAGACCTGGTTTTTGGACTTCACTGAAATCACTGACTCTTATTTTTTTATCCGAAGTTCATCTGAGCTTGGAGCAATTTCCATACACATTTCCTGGCATTAATTTACAGTTCTAAAATGTCCACTAAGGGCCTGTTTATATGATCCCGCCTAGACGGGACAGAACGTTTTCATCCCACCTAGACGGGAAACTCGCCTAGTGTTTATATGGACAAAATACATTGCCGGGATAAAGCCATTTAAGTGTTTGGTGTCATATTTTTGTTGCAATAAAGGCATTTACGCATGCTCAAAAGGGAAAAGTTCATCCTGCCTAGCCGGGATGAAGTGTTTATATGGGAATTTTTCGTCTCGGCTAGGCAGGATGAAGTGTTTATATGTGAATTTTTCATCTCGTTTAGGCGGGATCCTGGCATCTGTTACCGAGATCCCGTCTAGGCGGGATAAGTGGCGGGATCATATAAACACTCTTTAGAATTTGTTGTATGAGCGGGATCTCAGTAAGCATCCCGTCCCACCTGGCTGGGATCATATAAACAGGCCCTAAAAAAACTGTGGCAACTTTATGTTAATATGGGTAGTTTGGGGTCTTCTGGTATTTCTATCACAAAATTATTCTGAAAAGTCAATTTTCGAGTGAAGCAGGGCAGCTTTTCAAAAACCACTTTAATAGCGGCTTGTGCGCAAAAATAAATGGTTTGAAACGCAATCTGAATTCATAGGGTGCAAATTTGGAAGGTGTTTCGTGAACTGTCAAAGTAACAATTTGATACACATTAAATCCAAAGCGCTACCTCTAAAACTTGCGCTTTTTTGCCATGGTAGCCTTTCACGCATAACTTTTTGCATAAAATCGATCATACATAAAGTCAATCATGCATAAAATTAGTCGTTCGTTTGATAAATTTTGTGTGAAAGGCTACTATTGAAAAAAAGGTCCAAGTTTTGGAGCTCTTGCATTGGACTTAATGTACATCAAATTGCCTGGTACTTTGATAGTTCATAAAACACCTTCCAAATTTACACCATATAAATTCAAATTGCATTTTAAACCTTACATCTTTGTGCGCAAGCCATCTTCAAAGTGGTTTTGAAAAGCTGCACTCGAAAATGAACTTTCCAGAATGATTTTGTGATAGAAATACCAGAAGGCCCCAAACCAGCCATGCTAACATAAAGTTGTCACAAATTTTGCGGAATTTTCAGTTTAGTGGACGTTTTAGAACTGTGCGCTTTTTTTATACACCCTGTAAGGCTGTAGAAATCTGTTTATTTCAAGTTGATATATCATTTAACAAATGTTTGTGCCTAGCCTAGAATATCTGATTCACATGCATAAGCATTTATACGATAAAAACGAAAAAAGAAAACCCGACTAAGTTTTTGCAACATGAAATAGGAAAACAGGAAATGGTTTTTTGGCCTAATCTGACAAAATCTAAAATTCAGATCACACTAATGGCTGTATGCTTTTTTTGTGTTTTTTTTCAAAGGTCAGTCAACAATTTTGCTGGCTGTTTGTGTATATATATTGTAATTGATTCGATTCTAATGAGTTTCCACTAAAATATTAAATTTAGTAATTTTTCAATTTCTTTAAAAAATTGGTCGTTCATTAATATATAATCCAGATATTATTCGCTTCCCAAATTTGCAGTTTGGCAATGAAGACTACCTATTTACAATAGATTACGTTGTCTGACTCGACGTACAGTAAAGCTTACACGCTATTGTATTGGGCACTCGAACAAATTTGGGGATTTATTCTACTTCCTTCGTAATTTGCATATCACGCCTTGAAATATGGTTTCAGCTGTAAACAGTGAATTATATAAAGCGACGTTGTTAAAATGGCAAAGTTTGAGAATACAGTAGGTCGTTTGCAACTTGCCCCTCAATCTCTGGCTACAAAACAAACTCTGTCAGTGGCGGAAATTCACTTTTTCCGGTGGAGGGGCGAAGTCTTCTCGAAAAGGCTGTATTTAGTATTTTACTGTATTTATCGAAGTATTTAGTGTATTAAATGTTTGCCTGATTTCAGTTACTGCATGCTTATATTCTGCATTTTCAATATTCGTACAGTCTACAGAGGCAGAGGTTAGTTTTTACGACATTTGTCTATTTAGTTTTAATTAAATCTATATAAGAATTAGCCATTCCGAAGTTGATGAGTGGACTGGGGACGAGTGTTAAAAAGTGCCCAAATTAGGAAATGAACCAAATCACTAAAAAGACCACCTCAAAATTAGTAAGTATGCAAAGTTTGAAGACGTTTACATGAATATCCTTCGAATAATAAGCTTTCCAAAATCCGATATTTACAGTACTATGAAATGTATTGCAATTTTGGGACGCGCGTCACAAAAACAATCTTTTAATCAGTAATTTCACAATTTTCGAAAGCTTATTATTCGAAGGGTATTCATGTAAACGTCTTCAAACTTTGTATACTTACTAATTTTGAGGTGGTCTTTTTCGTGATTTGGTTCATTTCTTAATTTGGGCACTTTTTAACACTCGTCCCCAGTCCACTCATCAACTTCGGAATGGCTAATACCGCACTACATGCCAGCATACAGGAACAGACGAAAATGCAGAATAGGCAGTTACTTAAACCAGGAAAACGTTACACTATAAATATTTCTACAGACTTTATAATATGGCTGTTTATTCTGCAACCAGCAAAGGAGGCAAATTCCAAACGACCTATTATATTGTATTCTCTAATTTAGCGACTGACAGCATCGCGTAATACAATTTACTGTTTATTGCAGAAGCCATTTTTCAACGAGTTATGACTTATGCATCGATGATATTCAAATTAGTAAGAAAGTAGAATAATCAAATGTCCGTGATTTCTGGCCATGCTACTGTACTCTAGTCTCTACAAGACTCAAAAGTTGAAAAATTGCCAAGATTTCTAAAGAAAACAATCAGTCGGAACAAAACAGCCAATTAACCATTGCTATATATCAAGCGGTTATTTAGTTATCTGAATATTTTTTGTGTGTGTTGGTGTTATGTATACTCTGGTGAATATGATGTTTGTGATGTAACTCTTGAGTGTGCATCCACACTGGGCAAGCTGAAAAGTTTGCCCGACCACGGTGGGAATCGATCCCACTGACACTGTGGGATCACACTTATGCAGAGTAACATCACAAACATTATCTGAATATATTGGAAAACCTTTGTTAAATAATGTATTTCCTTGTTTTTACTGTAAGTTTGTTTTAGTTTAACCGCTGTTTGTCAAAATATCTCTTTTTTGCCCTTATCTAAGTTTCTCAATAATTTAAAATACGTGTTTTAATGCAAAGGTTTATGACAGCATAAAGATTAAAGGGCCGATATAGAAATCGCAAAGCCAAAGCAATTGCAGTTTCCCACGGTACACGGACATAATTGCACGAACGTTTCTTTTGATAAAAAACATCCGTAAAAACGCACAAGTTGCTACAGATCTGCAAACAAGTCGTAACAAGGTTGTTGTCAAGCTGATACCGGGATTTGTTCGTAATGCTTGTTCCCAGTTGTTGCGACAAGTCTGGAACAAGTTGTTATCACCTTGTTACAAAGTTTACGGTAACAGACTTGCTACAAGTTGTTCCAACAAGAGTAGTACTGGCTGTTCGTAACAAGTTGTTACGAGCTTGTTGCCATCAACTTGTTAACAATTTGGTATGTGCAGACGATATCAAACTTGTTGAAACAACTTTTTGCGAGTCTGTTGGCCTCATCAACCTTGTTACAGTTAGAAAATGATAACGCTAACTTGTTCTAGACTTGTTCCGGCTTCCCCCCTCCCTACAGTATGTATAAATTAAGTCAATTTAGGATGGTTTATAATCCAGGGGCCGGTTGTTCAAAGGTGGGTTAGCGCTAACCCAGGGTTAAAATTTAACCTGCTGTTTTAGTTTGTGTATTTCTGCACGTCTGTTTATTTCGAAACTTCAGAGAAGTAAACTCCTATCAATCCAGACAAGATCTCTGAAGAAATATTTCCAAATTTATAGACAAGCTGTCAGGAAGTTTGCTTTGAATTTTACGTTAATTTAGGGTTAAGCTAACCCAGCTTTGAACAACCGGCCCCAGGTCGACACATTTATATTAGAGAACACAACTACTATACCTTTAGTTACCCAGACTCGTGGTATGAAGATATAACATCCAGTCCTCGGTTCTATTCCTTAGCTGCTGTATTGAACGGCAGAATTATTGGTATTTTGATTGCCGAAGTGAAGAGTATTTCAAAATGTAATCCAGAGGTATCGAGAACTATTTACACTTAATTCAAAATTATTTTGTCATTGCTCGGTTATCAATACTGGTACAATTGGTGATGATGATCATGATAGTGATGGTACATGATGTTGATGATGATGATGATGGTGGTGGTGATGGTGGTGGTGATGGTGGTGGTGATGGTGGTGGTGATGGTGATGATGATGATGATGGTGATGGTGATGTTAGCGATGATGATGGTGATCATGGTGGTGGTGATCATGATGGTGATTATCATGATGATGGTGATGGTGATGATGGTGGTCGCGATGATGATGTTAGCGATGATGATGGTGATCATGGTGGTGGTGATCATGATGGTGATTATCATGATGGTGATGATGGTGCTCGTGAGGCCAAATAAAAGTAATAGTTGGTTTTAGGTTTCACAGCCATGTTTTATATGGCTAGGTAGGTCGAAAAAACATTTTGTTTTAAAAAATATTTTATCTCAAGTATGCAATAAATACAAGTTAAAACTCATTATAAACTCCTCATTATAAACTCTTAGTTTTTATTGTTTTTACATCAGGTTTTCACCTGCAAAGGCGTTTTCGTCTTTTTTCAGCGGTAGCTGCCATGTCAGAATAATGTACGTTTTTAATATATATTTTATCCAACTGTTCTTTGTGTAAAACTATGATTAACGTAGACAAATGAGTCTGATGACTATTTATATATTCTGCTATTTACGAAAAGATGATCTCTACTGGGAAATGTCAATAAAATGTTTATGGTCGGTCATATTTTTGACAGGTCGGTCGGAAACCTGAAACCAACTATTATTTTTATTTGGCCTGATGATGGTGACGCATCTTTAAACATTGCTGTCCATTTCAACCATATTTTCCACTCTTGATTCTTGATATTATTGTGATATCATTGCACAACGTATAGCTAATATATGCAACAATTTAATTCGGTTCCCTCTCATTGTACTTATTTAGGACAGCGGCATATTAGGTGGACGATATTTGAAAGACACAAGAGTTGCGTACGTGTTAAGTTTAGGCGTTGTTAAAGAATTCAGAAAAAATGGAATCGGTAAGATGCCACAGCCAATCCACTATACACCCCTGTTTCCAAACCAGACTCGCCCAAGGGACAGGCTAGAATATAGATTTTATAAAGAAACAGATCCCGAAGGAAACAAAATACCGGGACAATATAGACATTAATATATGTGTTTACTTATAGTTTATCTCTGAAATAATCTGACATTTAGTAAGACTACCATTTTTTCGCAACTGGTTAAGTCGATAATGTATATGAATTTGCGTTCGAACAATTTTTGGTTACACCATGTATTTAATTTTATTCTGAGCTTTCCGCCCGTGTACTCGGTTCGTCTTCCGACAAAAGAAAGAAATCTCGGAATAAAATTAAACACATAGTGTAACCACAAATTGTTCCTCATTTTTACCCCAATAGTTTGTTCAAAAATAGGTGGGAAGGTCCACAAACATGCTTTAGCTTATTACAGGGACTGGTCATAAAGTAACTGCTAGGGTGGGCTGGAGGTAAATCACAAATGTTGCCAATAAGTTTGGTGACCCATCTTAGGATGTAGATAAAAATTTCAAAGCCCATCTAATCTTACCAAATTTATTTCATGACCCATCCACCCAATCTAAATTGGGAATTTAAAAAATACAATTTTAAAATAAAAAACTTGCAGGAATGAACATTGTAAATATACACTGGCACTGTATTGACATACATAATCGAAACTGCCCATCGAAACTGCCCAAAGATTTTCCATGGCCCATCTCAAATCACTCCAGGCCACCCTAGCAGTTACTTTATGACCGGTCCCTTTGGTATATCAATTCATTATATATATATTTTTATTTTATTTTATTTTATTTTCAGCATCCTTATTATTGAACAATCTATTCGGCTTACTGACAACGGAGGAATACGTGAACTGTAAGGCAGTGTATCTTCATGTTCTAACAACGAACTATGTAGCCTTGAGATTCTACGAACGTCATAAATTTCGCTTGTTTCGCTACTTGCCTTGCTACTACGCGATCCAGGGACGCCAGAAAAATGGATATTTATATGTTCTTTACATTAATGGAGGGAAACCACCTTGGACTTTCTCATATCCTTTTCGAATATCTAGTTTTGTTGTAGAGAACTATACGTACGTATTTAAATTAGCTATTCCGAAGTTGATGAGAGGACTGGGGACGAGTGTTAAAAAGTGCCCAAATTAAGAAATGAACCAAATCACTATAAAGACCACCTCAACATTAGTAAGCATACAAAGTTTGAAGACGTTTACATGCATGAATACCCTTCGAATAATAGGCTTTCGAAAATCGTGATAGTTACTATGAAATGTACAGAAATTTTGTTTTTGGAGACGCATATAACTTCTAGTTAGATTCCTTAATCATTTCCCAAAGATGTGATGCAATATGGTTTAAGTTTCATCTGTAGAATTCAACCATGCAGACTGCCTTTTATACTAGCAAACAAATTGTGGATGTGTTTTATGAGGCTGGGATTTGATGTTCAGCGAAGATTTAATCTCTATCCATTAGACGCTAACCAGAGACAGGACAGCGAGTCATTACAATACAAAGACAAGATAGAAATGCTGCCATATTAAACATTTTTTAGGTGCTTCAAAATTGGCTTTTGTATGTTGTAGATAGACTTAAATCATCTCTAATATACCGTTTGCAGAATTTGAGTATTACTGGAGTTTTAGCATTACGGATAGCCTCGGGTTAATTTTTTTGAAAACATACAGAAACTTCAAAATTGAATATACCTGTAAAATTCAAGAGAAATAAAGAATTATAGTCAGGCAGATAGAGGATCAAAATTATGGAAAACATTCTTTATCGTTGGACAATTCCATTTTGTCTTCATATTGTGCCCTGAAGGCTAGTAAGTACGTTTCTGTATGTTGGCCGCGTTAAAATTTCTTGTGGGCTCCTGCCGACACGTTTTTCTTCGAATTTTGTATTAAACTCTATTACAGTTGAAAAATGTAAAATTTCTGATGCATTTCTAATACAAATGACTTGCATCAATAGAAAGCTAACAAAAAACTACATATAAGACATTTATTTCAAGCGGTTTTCGAGTTATTGCCGTTTCAAATGTGAAAAATAAGCCAAAATCTCGCAAAATTCCTGGGTACTAGTCTGAAAACACGCGTTCAACAGCTCATAACTCAAGAAGAACTTGAAAAACCCGGGTAACCGTTTAAATGTCTTATATGTAGTTTTTTGCAAGCTTTCAAATGATGTAAGTCATTTGTGTTAGACATGTATTTGAAATTTCACATTTTTTAACTGTAATAGAGTTTAATACAAAATTCGAAGAAAAACGTGTTGGCAGGAGCCCAATCTCGTTCCCCGAGCCTGCGATCCTCGGGAAGGAATCGAAGGCTCTGGGATAATCCGTTACCGGAAGCCAAGAATCCTGGCTAAGATTGAACTACGCATTCCATTTCAATGGCCAATCAGATTCCTCCCTGAAACGGATTATCCCAGAGCCTCGCGTTCCTTCCCGAGGATGGCAGGCTCGGGGAACGAGATTGGCAGGAGCCCACAAGAAATTTTAACGCGGCCAACATACCGAAACGTACTTGCTAGCCTCCAGGGCACAATATGAAGGCAAAATGACATTGTCCTACGATATGGTAAGTTTTTTCCTTCTATCTGCCCGACTATTAATGAAGTCGAGGCTATTTGTGTAATGCTAGGATCCAGGGGCTCAGGGTTGTTCGAAAGCTTGACCCAAGGTTAACCGAAAATTCAAAGCAAACTTCCCAAACAGTTTGTTTATAAATTTGGAAACAGTTCTTCAGAAATCTAGTCTGAATCAGTAGGAGTTTTCTTCTCTGAAGTTGTGAAATAATTAAACAGACGTGCAGAAATACGTAAACTAAAACAGCAAGTTAAATTGCCGAGATTGCACTAATCCAAGCTGTGAACAACTGGCCCCAGTAATTTTGCAAGTGGTCTATGGTGTTTTTCAATACGTCGAATACCCGCAGATAATAAGTTGTGAACGAGGCTTCGTGCAAAGATGTATTTTTCCTCCATATCAAATGTAACACGAGACCTCTGAAAGGCCTACTCTTACATTGTAAATGTAGTTAGATGAATTAAATGAGATTCAAAAGTTATAAAGACTTTGATACTGATAGGACTCTCTGTAAACTGTATCCTTGCTGAAAGTCTTCGCAAAAACACATCAATAAAGATAGAACCCCGAACATCCGCGGTACAAGCCCAACACGTTCGCAAAAAGTCCAATTATTAATATCCGCGGTTCCGAGTATTTTCGACCGCGCAAAGCATTCTGGTACTTTGGGGATGATTTCGATAAAGCATAAAATGGGAATTTTGCATAAAGAAATTCTTAGGATTTGTAAGAAATCATTTTTGTTTGGAAACTTCGTTGTTTTAATTTTAAAAAATTGGTCAAAAAGGTCATTGTACGTTGCAATTCGGTATGGTTATGACCGGAAAATGTTTCTCTTCCCCCAATACCCCCGTCGCCAACATTTCCGGGAAAAAATGTTAATGTTAATGCTACTATTATTATTATGAACAATATTTTAACACGGTACAATTTCACCTACTAATATTAATTATGTACACAATATAAAAAGAAAAAAGGTGATCTTCCAACCGGTCGTGCTCACACAAGCAGAAATAAAAAAATATTATTTACAAGAAGATTATTTTAGGTAGATGGAAACAATGGCAGGATCACTTGATGTTAATTTGCATGTTTCAAGTTAGACTTATAATTAGTAATAGTTGTCGTCTTGTCGATGCTTTTAGCGATGCAGAAAGGCAGTTCCAGACTTCCGCACCACTGTAGGAGGAATGCATTTTTCATACTATTTGTTTTTGGTTTAGGCAATGTCAAATTGGCTCCCGACCGTCTTGTGTTATGTATGGTCGTGTACATCACCCACATTTGTGAACATATCACTCCTAGCTTGTTTAATATATCAGCCGATCGTGTCGTATAATTCTCACGAGTGATTATTCTAATAATTTACAGAGAGTCCTATTTAATTTCATTATCCAAAAGTGCCCCTGGAAACCGGTGTCCGCCCCCCGAATCTTTTGACATTTTTGGGGTGTGAAGACTTTTAGCTACCTCCTTTTCCGGGCAAATTTGCGGGCTGTGCTAGGGAAAATTAAGGAATACATCTTGTGTGAAGGAATTTTAATTATCTAGAATTTTAATATATTTTGGATGGTTTCAAATTTCACGCAGACTGTTTTGACTGGTCTTTTGTCTCTGACTCTCTGGCTGCAAGTGTTATAATCTTTTGAAATATTGCTAAAAGGGGCCTGCTTTTAGACGAACTGAAACAAACGTCTAAATATCAAACATTTCGGAAGGTATTTACAACTTCTAGCGCTTCGAAAATGGACGCCGAAACTGCAAAACCCGGTACGTATGTATATTCTTTGTCCTAGTTTTGTTATATTTTGTAATTAATACTTAAAAGCTTGAAATATATGAATTTATAGTTATATGAGGTTATGATTTTAGCAGTTTAAGGTTATTTTTATACAAGTTAAAAGTGCAAATGCATTTTTGCCGGTTCGTTTAAAGGAAATTTGCAAATTAGTGCAAGAGGGGTTTTGGCTACGTGTTGCTTTACAGGTTAACGTCTATTAATATAAACAGTAAGGGTCTTGAGTAGTTAATAGTTATTAGTTACTGACTGAATAAAACATGCTGAGTTAGGAAACGGTACGTGTTAGTATTCATGGCCATTCATGAAATATTTGTCAAATACTTCAGCGATACCATAGGCAGCCCCGAGGGCAGCTAGCCCACTAGATGACTGAATTTAAATTAAAACTGCAGTGAAATTCTAAAATTAACGAAAATAATCACAAGTAAGCGAAATATATTGCTATATGTAGCTTATATTTTTAAAAATTTCCTGCACCCGATTGCACTATCGGCGAACCCTTTACAGTCGTCTGGTGGGCTGCCTAAATATGGTTATGCCATTGCAGACACCACAAAATGTTTGACCACCGTTTTATGTTACAAAGTGACTATATGTCCAGCAGTCGGACAACGTTTTGAAAAAACTAAATGTCTGGCAGTTTTGTGACTGTCTATGGACTTGTAGTTAAATTAAAGTTGAATTTTTATAAGATAAACTGATCCCAACCCCTAACCCTAACCCCTAACCTTTTGAGAGTGAGAAAAGCCGGAACCCAACTGCATCTCACTTTCTGCAGGCAGTGCTGTTGCCGAAACGCTAATGTCAAGCTCAGTAAAAGCTAGTGCAAACAAAAGTTTTTATATTTAACTATAGTCACTATACTGCCGGACATTTAGCTTTTTCAAAACATTGTAAGCCTTGTACCACAGATACGATACGAGGGTTTGATTCGGCCAAAAACCGGTAATGCTACCACACCATGTATTTGCAAGGAATTGCCACCGAAATGCTATTGTCATGTTCCTAGCCAGTGTGCTTACACAGAGTAGGCTCACTTTAACTGCTTGCAGAACTCGCCGAGCACACACAGTTGATAATTTTTTGCCTGGTCGCCTAAAAAAAAGTGGGTGATGACCAGTTTTACCTCTGTATGTATCTACTCTGTGACACTTACGAGAGGCATTAATCACCCCCAGTGAAAGTCTGGCTATTTTCAAGGGGATCAATGCATCTCATAAGTGCACTGGCTAGGAACATGGCACAGACAAGAAGTTTTCCTTGACAATTTTTTGTTTGTTTGCATATATCACAAGGTTTTTTCATTGATGAGGAGCCTTGTTCAAAAGCTGGTCATGCGAACAAGAAAAGTGGTTTGTGTCTAGAGTTGTCAAGGAAAACTTGACAAGTAATAGACCAGCCTTCCAGAAAGTACATCACTTTGGCTAATGTAGAGCTTTGTTTTTGTGATTGAGCAGCTTGGATTTAACTAAATCTCACATACACAAAAACAATTCAGACTCTTAATAGCCAAAATGATACTTTCCAGAAGGCTTACTGTGCAGTGCATCACTGCAAAATCATCTTTGAGCAGCCATGTTTTTCTAATACTTAGCTTTACTCTGTCTTTGACATGAGCAGAATATAATTGTCTTGTTTTTCACCCTAAGGAATGACAATCCCATCCAACGGGCATGCTCGTCATTACCACAGTAAACACTTGCATGGTCACTGGAAGAAAGCTGCTGAACAAACAAAACATTTGTCTGATCCGTGGCAGAAGTTTCATATTGACGAGAACTTTCCTGACGAAGTGGGCATTCGTCATCGTTACAACGCTCGCAAGAAAACCTGGGTCAAAGACGAGGTTCATGTACGCATGGAAGAAGAGGTCTGGTACTTCAACATATTTTTGGTTCCATTTTGCAACAGGCTGCAATGGCAATGAACAACATCTACGTACATCCCTATTTCACCTTACTTATCCCTTTTAAACATACTGTAGTATATATCCAAATGGTCCAGTTAGAGGAACAGTCATTGCAATCCCAGACCACCTCTAATGTTGTGTGTCCTGGGTCCCACACAAGTGTAAGCATACTCTCTGCCAATCTCCATCCCAACTCCAAACTCATTGCAAGTACACTATTTGCCCATCCAGCACATCCCACTGTAAACAGACTCCCACTCACTTTAACCCTTCCCAGCACACCCCAACCCACCATAAACATACCCTCTGCCCACCCTAAACACACCCTCTGTCCACCCCACTATGCCCAAACATGACCTCTGCCCACCATCAACCCACCCTATTTAACACACCCTCCCATTCACCCAAACACACCTTTTGCCCACATCTGTTCACCCCAATGCCCCTTAGTTCACCCTAAACAAATTCTCTGCCCACCCTAACCCACCTTAGACACACCCCTGGCCACTCCAACGTATTCCAAACACGCCCTCTGCCAACCCCAGTACACTCCCAAGTCCCAATCCATCTGAAACACACCCCTAGCCCACTTTTAGCCCACTGTCTTACCGTTTGTCAACCTGATTTACTGCTGCTATATGTACTTTTATCTTTTGTTTTAGTCTTTTGATAGAGGAGCAATGCGAAACTGTTTTCGATTGTAAGTATACAGGGTGATGTAAATTCAAGACAGCAACACGACAAAAATTGGCATACTTATAGTTATTGTTATTTTCACCTTATTTTCAAGCCACTGTGGATAATTTCCTGTTTAGACTTTAATTTGGAAGATTCACTATTCTGTGCGTACGAAGTCCATGTAATATCTAGCTTAATTTGTATCCTATCAATGCTGTCAGGGTTGAAAAAAATTGTTACAGCTTTGTTACACAGAATATTTTTATTTAATATTTTTATTTTGGCTGTATCTTGCTCAATACTGCATGTAAATTCAAGTGTTATATATCAAAATCTATAAGTCGGTCTTTTCTGAATGCAATGATCTTTATTTCATTGCGATAGCTTTAACTTATAGCTTTTACGTTACATGAAATCAAGCAGTATCCAGTTTCTTTGGGAAACCCGGTATTTGTAAAGAAAAACATTTAGTAATAAAAGTTGCCATTATTAAATAATTACATATACTTGAATGGTTACTGTTCAACACTATTTACATTCTCTTTTCAACAGAAAAAAGTTATCGAATTTCACGAAAACCAGGAGTTGGAAACACGCAGGAAACCACGTTGCAAAACGTTATATAAATGAGGTCCCTAGACAGACATATTTCAGTGACGTTGTCTTACAAATGGACGCCAAACTCTGGGGAGAGGAATATAATAGGCATTTCCCACCTAAGAAGGTACAGTAATTAGCTTTTTCCCAAAAGAGATCACAGTGCATTCTGGGATCGTTTGGAGGGACAAATATATGGTGACAGGCGTCAAATATGTGAAAGACTGGAAGTATATCTGCTATCAAATATCAACTTTTTAGACGACTAAAAATTCTTGGGTTTCACTACGGCATTTTGCAGTGAATCTGATGGGGGGGGGGGTTCAACCTAAAATGTACCGATGCCTATGCTGTACTGGAGTGAGCAAATGATACGAAATGCCATGTATTTGCCACCAAACACAAGGCCAGCACATACAGTGAACAATGAATTCACTCTGATGACTGTGTCTCGATTTAGAGTTGACCCCCTGTCAAATTTATGACGTCATGTGAAACCCAAGAATGAATATCTCCTTCGCGCGACTAGACCCAGGACTTTCGGAAATTCAGGATGAGTTTATATGAAACTTCGTGAAATGAAG